AGAAAAACTTTAATATAACAGCAAATGTACAACGTTTCGACAAGGTTTTATCATCATCAGGTACGAAACGTCGAAACGTTGTACATTTGCTGTTATATTAAAGTTTTTCTTCATTACCTATTCAAGCCGTCTCCAATATAAGCTGTTGATTACAAAGATACTCCACTCTAAATCCCCTACTCCATCCTGATTCCCAGATTTAGAAATCGGTACTTGTATTGTTTTTTGTTTTTTTTTGTTTGTTTGTTTATTTATCTAGAGGAAAACCATTCCCACATATTATTAAAATAAAATTCGTAATTCTTCTGACACTCAATCTAGAGCATATGTACTTAAGTTATTTCTAAATCCAGCAGATAATCATCTTTCCAGTTTCTTGGTACAATTCTTAACCCCATCTAATGTAAATTCTTTCATCCATATTTCCAAACATATTTCTTCAACATTTACAGTTAATTATTTTTTCTCACATTTTCCACAAATCTTCTTCCGTCGTTAATTCTTAGTCTTCCCATCTCCTTCTACATTTTCTTATTCTCGCATATTTGAATTGATATTTTTAATCTATAACATTTCAATATATCTTCCATCTCTTTCTTCTTCTGTACTCATTCTAACGTATTTTAGCTGAATGCTTTACATACTTTCACTATATTCTAAATTCTCTACTTCCAATCTCTGTTTGTGATTTTAATATATTTTACCCATCTATGAACATTTTCTCCAATATCTTTCTTTCTTATTCTTTTCTTCTATTACACTATTTTCTTTATACATTGCCACCATTATTGGATGATGGTCTGGTTCTGTACTCTTGAAGGTGCCATATGCATACTTCTCTGGATTAACACAATCAATGACAGAATTTCCTCTACTTCCTTAGAAAGTCAATTCCTCATCTTCATCTCAGATTTTTCTGGGAAAATGGTGATTAATAATAGAAGACTTAAACGCTAGAACAGGGGAGGAAATAACTATTTAGGAATGAGAAAAGAAAAACAGTAGAATAATAAAATCAAAAGATAAAACCAGTAACACAGAACGGAGAAAGCTATTAAAAACCAGAATAAAATGGATTAGACGAATGGTTTTGGTTCTCCATATGGGCAGAAAAGAAATATTTAGGTAAAATAAAGAAAAAAGTTACCCAACTGATTTTAATTCGACACGTAAAAATGCAAAGTGTGAGAAAAAGCAGGAGTGATAATAATAGGAAAGGTGCATATTTGCCAATGGTAGAGCTAAGGTAATTATAAGAACAAGTGTTTGTATATAGTAGTTTGTAGAAAAGGAATAGATAAATGTGGAAAACAAACATTAATTTATAATATACCAGATATAGATGACATAGCAAGAGCAAAAAGACTCTAGAAGACAAGGATGAAGAGGAAATATAACATTTTTAGAAGAGGAAGAAAAAGACGGAGGATGAGAAAGTTATTAATAGAAGATAAAAGGAGGAGAAAGAATAATGGGAATGGATAAGGAATGTACGAGCAATAAAAAAACAGGACATTTTAGAAGTATTCAAAAGAAGTTGATATTGTAGACAGTACCTCTCTTTCAAACCTTTCATTTAGTATAATTAATAACACAGGCCTGCGATGGTTTTATCGTCTTGAAATATTTACACATTCTACAGTAATTCCTGTACGCTGAATCCGAAAATTATATCCATTTTTCTCCATCACGTGCAGATTTTTCACAAAATGTCATATATACTTTTATATAAGTGGATCATTTTCATTGAAATCTGTTCAAATTTTTTATGCATAAAACATTGACAACCACTGGCTATAGATTTCTCAAGACCAATCGCCACGTGAAAGTCTTATCGATCGTTCTAGAACCCAAACGTAACAAACATAATAGTAAAAAATGTTCACTGTGGTAAACGAAATAAACATTTTTTCTTCCCGCTTTGTAAAAAAAAATCTTTACATGATAAAAAAAAGAATATTATTTTCGAAATCTGCGTAGCTGAATTATGGAAAATCCGTTATACAAAAACTAAAACAACTTTTATGGAGTTTAAATTCGCAGACTTGTGTAATGAATTCCGACCAAAGCAAGTTTTGTACTTAGAGAAACACTAAAAGTCTACTTAGGTATGAGTATAAATAACTAAGCACACTTTTCTTATGTTTCTACTTATTGATATCTATACCATCGCTGAACGATATTTTAGGCAGTAATCCCAATAATATCTCATGAGGTTCACCTAGTTTATGACACTTAGGTTATTCTAAATACAGATATTAAACTAACAATACAAAACAATCTTTATAAAACAATTATAACAAATAACAAAACAGAATTAGAAGCAATGGAATTCGATATCAAGGCAAACGGTAGTGTGTTGTACAGCCAAAACAACCTGCAGGACACACTGCGTGTTATTAACAGTTTATCGATTTTCCACTTTCTGTATATCGGACTGTGGTAATCCAAACTATCACAAATTTTCAGTGGATATACTGTGCTGGACACTTATTTCACAGACCAATTGTTTTCAAGGCTATCCATTAAGAAGTACACGAGATATAAAATCTCCAATTTTGATTGAATTTCATCCTCTTTTTTCCCTCTGCACTGAAAGTACGGAAACTTACTTACTTACTTACCTCTTATGGATTTTTTTTAATTTGGTACACTGATAAATCTTTATAACCTACAATAAGGAATCAAACTTGATCTAAATATAACTAAAATGTACAAAATTATGCAACAAAAACCGCTCAATTTTGACCAAACCTTTTGAGCACGACTACGCAAAAAATTCACGTGAGCTATCAGTCTAACATTTTTACTGCAGCTTCAACTAAGGGTAAAAAAGGACATTTTTTAGTTTTGTCATTCCTATAAAAGACGGCCGAATTAGAGCAGCAAAACTTTAGTGTGAAAACACGTGCAGATATATAAGGCCAAGATATATAAGGTTAGGCCAAGCAAACTAGATTAGCAGCTTCTAGCTCAAGTTTTCAATAGAATTATAAGTGTGGACATTTATTATATATTGCCAACTTTTAAGCACAAATTTGCTAAATTGTATGAAATTATCCTAATTAACGAGAGTTAAGCGTCACGTGATACTGCCCTCAGCAATTAGGGTGAATAAAGATGCTTGATACCGCTGTACGGAGTGCATGCAGGTGATGACAAAAACTGTTAATCCAGATTACATGACATTACTATAAAGGAAGTTATTAACACAGTTTTAGATAGGAAAAACTTCCACCTTGTATTTTAAAGAACCTGACTAATTCTGTAAAATATAGGTCTGTTCCGTATAATAGGGTTGCGATCCTAAAGCTAATGTTGGTTACTATCGAGTGTTACTTTCTTACTTGCTGTGGTTTGTTGGTGTGTGTTGATAAAAAGTAACGATATTAGCCCAAAACACCTCAGGTGTGAAAAAAAAAAGGTGCGCTAAAAAAAATGATTGAGTGTGCGACTTAAAGGAATGAAATCAAAATTGGCGACCAAACAGGTAGCTACACATATAGAATTGATAAGAATTTTACAGCAAATATTCATTTATTAGTTAGTTAGCTAGCCCACATATTTTGTTTTACTCAACATCATGACCCAAGCTGAAAAAAAACGCAACCTGGCTAACTAGTGAATGAATATTTGTTTGGCCGCCAATTTTGACTTAATTCCTTTCTTGGCCGCACGTTTTTTGCACACCTAAGGTGTTTTTATTTACATACTAAATATTATAATCAATATTGTTAATAAAAGTGGCAATAAATGAATAATATAATACACCTAAGCTAGGGAACGTACAAATACTGGTTGTCGGCTTACGTTACTTCTCTTGAAGAAATTTATTTGGAAAATGTGACTTTAGTATAACTCGCTTATATTCTTTGTTTTCTTTTGAATTGAGCGCAAAGCTATACGAGGGCTATCTGCGCTAGCCGTCTCTAATTTAACAGTGAAAGACTATAGGGAAGACAGCTAGTCATCACCACCCACCGCCAACTCATGGGCTACTCTTGTACCAACGAATAGTGGGATTGACAGTCACATTATAATGCTCCCACGGCTGAAAGGGCGAGCATGTTTGGTGTGACGGGAATTGTGAATCGAGCGTCCTAACCCTTTGGCCATGCCGGGCCATCCTATTTTTGTTTTCTCCTTTCTCCAAAATATCCAGCACAACAATATTCCTTCTACTCATATTTACTATATTCAATTTTTTTTTCATTTACATTATAGCTCTTTCTCTAGACTCGTATATTTACTTTTATCTTTTCCAAAAATACTTAGATATGACCTATAAATCTTGAATACTTTTAAGGCCGCAAACACATATATGTATATATCATTTTAAGCTAAAATTAGTATATGAATAATCGTGTGGATAGAACGTAAACGTAAACAAAAAGTCACTTTTACAAATTGAAGATTATTTTTAAGTTTACCACAACGTTCTAATAGGGGTAATAAAATAAAGATTCTGTATATTCTTCACCCAGAACAGGTTATAATTGAAGTCACAATGACATTAAACTCTATATTTGTAATATATACTTTCAATGACTTACTTGTATAGTCACACACATTGGGCACATAGATGATTTAACTGCAGCCGTATTAGATAATAGTGATTATAGTCAGTTATTTTATATTCTATTAAGGAATAGTTTGTTTTATCTGGTGACATATAATGTGCATTTAAAGAGTTTGATGAAAATATTATACTCAACTCAATCGAAATATGCAACTGATTATCAAAACCATTAAATTAAAATCAATATTGAAATAAAAACACATCTTACGTGTTCATCATTACAATGAATATGACGAAATCATTATGTTATATTAAACTGTTGCAATATCTGATGGCAATTTCAGGAAATATCACACTTTCTGGTGTCACCATAAAGAAATATTATAACACTTTTGGCACCCTAGAGATCCGTCAAGCCTTCTGTTACCACCATTTGGAAACTGTCGCATTCTCTTCTGGCAATATATTGAACTATCAAATCCACAGACAAAACAAAAATCTGTCCTTTTTCACCTCTATGACGTCACAAGTTACATGTTCTGGGATCCATTTGGGTTATTGCGTTGAGTTGAAGTAAATTTTACAATAGGATTATTATAGAACTTCTTGTGAAAAGATATGATATGTTGTAAACTTCACCTGCAGGTGGGTGTATGGTCGCTTGGTTATCCAGAACATATAGTCTCCAACGAGGGATTTTCCAAGAAAACATTTGATGATTTTAAAGCTGTGATAATCTACAAAATTACCACAGTTGCGGTAAGTTTCAGATAAAAACTAGTTATCTTAAATATTCTGGGGAGTGGATTTCAGTTTCAATTTCCTAGCTGCTCACAAGTTTCAAATATAAACCTATATTTGTATATTAATCCTCACGACATTAATAAGCTGGTTAACCGTATTCTGCCACCAGTTCAATTACCACTGATGAAACAAAGTATTAATGTGTAAACAACCTGATGTTTTTAGAGTTTTTCACGGGAATAAAAAAATAAACATCTTGTTCACAAAGCGTTTTACTCTGACTTTTTTATACTTTTATTTTAATCGAATTATAACTGTTCACATGTCATTTTAGTTTGATTGCATTGAGACTCATCTTGAATTCTACCGTCACACTTGTGTATCAGATGTTTAATTGTCTTCTTCGCAGACCCTTTAAAACTAATTTTACAGTAACTCTCATGTATCAGGTGTTTAATTGTATTCCTGGTCTGTTCACAGACCCATCATTCTAATTTTAAAGTAACTCTCATGTATCAGGTGTTTAATTGTATTCCTGGTCTTGTTCACATACCCATCATTCTAATTTTAAAGTAACTTTGCTGTACCAGCTGTTTTTAATTGGATTTCTGGTCTTGTTCACAGACCCATCAATCTAGTTTTAAAGTAACTTTGCTGTACCAGCTGCTGTTAATTGTATTTCTGGTCTTGTTCGTAGACCCATCATTCTAATTGTAAAGTAACTTTGCTGTACCAGCTGTTTTTAATTGGATTTCTGGTCTTGTTCACAGACCCATTAATCTAGTTTTAAAGTAACTTTGCTGTACCAGCTGTTTTTAATTGGATTTCTGGTCTTGTTCACAGACCCATCAATCTAGTTTTAAAGTAACTTTGCTGTACCAG